TCACTGAAACTATCTTCGTAAAGAAAAGTGAGTGAGTGAGTTTAGTTTTACGCCGCACTCAGCAATATTCCAGCTATATGGCGGCGGTCTGTAAATAATCTCGTCTGGACCAGACAATCCAGTGATCAACATCATGTGAGGAACACAACGTTTAGGGGTATATCCTTACTCCTTCATCGAGTGGATGGTAATGGAGTAAGGATATACTCCGAAACATTATGTTCCTAATAATAAAGAGGTTGACATCCTTAAAAACTCTCTTCCTTATGTGTATCACTTCTAAATGGTATTCAAAGACTTTTTAGAAAGGACTTTTGAGAATTCAGGAAACCTGAAGCCTTTAATTCCAAAAGTGGGGAGTATTGTGCTGAGACGTGGGTCAGGGCTGAATGGGGTGAATGTTTTGAATGCTGGAATTCGTTAGAGACTACCTATCTTAATAAAAGACTATAAGATGGCTTCAGTTTACTCAGAAATATAGCACACAGGCTATGTAGTTGTATACATATAACGACATGAAACTGTCACTAACCACTGTCAGGATTTGTTTGTTTCTTGTATTCCAGCTGTATGACCAATAAATCATCGAGTCTGGATCATACACGCCAGTGACTGACATTAGGAGCATCAATCTATGCTGATGGAGTTGGGTGTCACACCAAAGTCTGTGAGTCTCACCAACTGACGCCGTTAGAATCTACTTAAGACCGACATGTGTTACTGGGTATATACATTTCCTTCCAGCATGAAGTTCCAATTCTGGTCTCCACTTTGTAAATGCAACAAGCCCATTTTTAGTTAATAACTAGTTTCTCCACATCGGATTATTTGACTGTCGTAGTGCCTCTGCCAAAGGACCCGTGAAGATCCGGGTTAGAGTTGGTATTCAGCCAGCCATGCTTGTCGTAAGAAGCGACTAACGGGATTAAGTGGTCAGGCTCACTGACATGGTTGACACATGTCATCGTATCCCAATTGCATACGTCGATGTTCATGATATTGATCACTGGATTGTTTGGTCCATACTCGATTATTTACAGTCCGCTGGCTGACCAAGTTAAGTGAACGTTGCAATGCCCAAAACAAGTTCTAAAGCGTTCATATTCCAGTGACAGAGCGATTGTCTCAAAACCACATGATGAAAACCACAGTATGATTTTAGAACACTATTTGAGGTGTTTCATTGCGGGCTTCACAATGCCTCTCAAGGCCACTAACAGCAATTTCAGAGGCATAACAGGAACTAGCAGTTTCTCGACCCAATCCAGAAGGATGTGACTGTTTATTCCTGTGTGATATTTTCGTCAAACTTTAGGTTTATCTGGAAACACGTACCATAGAGGATGTATTTTGTCTTTACATCCCGCTTACAGCATTAGTCAACCGCTTATTCCTCGAGAAAGTTACGAGAGGTTTTCGCATCTGATTAGACACATTGATGTGTCACAATATGATATGTATTGACCATTGATTCATCAACGTATATACATTTTTTCCATGTTTCCGCTTCTTGTGTAAGGTTCTCGTCGCCTGCAATTAAAAGCGTTGAACATGTTTCCAGGGAAACGACTGGACTCAACTAAATGATGCTCCGTTACCATGCATTTCTTCAATACCCGCAAATATAAACATATCTTTTCAGAGAAAAACTTCTGAATCGCATTTTTGATGGTCACTTACGGACTGTCTTTGTTCAAATGCTTGTCTCTCTCTTTCTGTAGTAAGTACTTAGTGTCTTGTTCTAGACTGCTGCTTGTTTAGGGTACCTTAAATGACCGACTAAGGGTCTCACCATCCGACTTTCAATGATCATTAACGTGAAATACAAAGGTTTGCAAACAATCTGTGAATTTTATCATATATAGTGTTGTAATGGCTGTTTGGGAATGGCCGTCTGAACAGAGCACTGATAAGGCCAGTAGGACTGATTGAAGGAAGGTACGTGTGCATGTTAATTATTTTAAATGGTGAGAGTGATGCAGGTCTCAGACATACACTTCTCTCTCTCTCTCTCTCTCTCTCTCTCTCTCTCTCTCTCTCTCTCTCTCTCTCTCTCTCTCTCTCTCCTCTCACAAACTTGCATGACAGTTTCTTAAACAACCTTTCTTCAATCCATGTCAAATTGAATGAATGAAATTATCTCAATTGGTATGATGAAATCTGAATCAATACTACATCTGTGCGGATGTTTGCTTTCAGATTAATAGTCATTTCGCATTTCATTCGATCTCGCAGCAGACAATAAAATAACAAGTGATGAAACAGGCTAGTCCATGGTCGTCATTACCTTTCCAACTGAAACTGTTCGTCATGCACAAGAAACGTTATAAATTTCGTATCTAAGACAAACTCCTCATATTATAGCACGAATTGTTTAAGCATATGATAGAAACATATTGTGAATAATATCTTAAATAGTTCCACGAAATTTGGTTTATAGAATGCGGTTGATAACTCTCTCCAATGGAAGTACACATGATATTTAAGTTGCGTGTTGATATTTGATTCATTGCTGTGTGATCCTGCCTTTCTAGAGATTTCCTGTTAAACAAGAACCCACATCTAACTAAACGGACCCATCTTACGCGGCATTGCTCTGTACTTAAGAAACATTCTTCTGTACATTAATAGTTGAACACACTGCAGTGTGATTGCGAAATACGGTTTTGATTGTACATTAAATTGAGTCACACTTCATGGCCTTTGTAACACATTAATAGTTAAACATTGCGACATGCATTTTTTGATTGTACACCCTTATTTTTCGCTGTTTTTGACAATGTTTAATTTCACTCAAACCCAACGAATATTGAATCAGTTGCTTCACTGCATGTTCTAACATGTCGTTTAAAGTACCTATTAAGCACACAAAAAGTTGCATTTACCTTAGAGTATAAATGACCTCACCACGTTTATATATGAGTATCAAATATTCGGGTGTTCCCATACTTTTTGTTTGTATTTTATATAATTTTGATTGTAACAAATAAACCCGTATAAATTGAAAAGGGACTGAGACAGACAATATCCACGGAACAGCCGCTATACTTGTCGATCGAAAGCAGTCACGGTGGCTATGTAGATAAATAGTCATCCACTGCAATGTTTTATAGTCATATTGACAGTTGTAATGTTAGTAAGGCATATGGAAAATTGATCAAATGTTTTACCATAGGAGCAAGAAGAAAAGAAGCCGAAACTGTATTCACACGCAAAGGTTTGATGTGGAATGTCGAGCAGCTTGTTGTAGCTTGTTTGAGTGGCATTTAGAAGTTAGTGTGGTGAACAACGAGGAGCGTTCTAGGGATATACAACTTCTTTAACATAATATGAACGACGTTTCGGTGTAGCTACTAACACGGTTATCAAGCAAATGATGTACAATAATACAGGCAAGGTATATAATTATATACATAGTAAAGTTGAACAGTAAGTGATTAATGTTTGCACAATTAATCCCCCAGAGCTTACTCTGTTTGTGTAGCATTAGGGAGACAGGATAAGGATATGGTTACATGCATATCAGCCTGACCACCCTACGGCGTTTGTTTGCTCTTAAAAATAACCCCGAGTTAACCCTGATCCTCATGAAGAGATCTATCATTGCTGAGGCCATACTCATCATGTGTTTTGTAACGCTAGTGGAATACAGAAGGCACTACTTCATTACAGCTATGTATAGGTGCTTCGTCAGTGCAGCTTAATATAACGCGGGGCATCGTTTGCCACGTCGTCTCCGTTCCTAAGTCGTACCAGGAATGTTTGCCCAGACGGAGCTTCTTGATTTATCGGGGCGGTGGGGTAGCCAAATAGTTAAAGCGTTCGCTCGTCACGCCGAAGAAGCTGGTTCTATTCTCCACATGGGTGCAATGTGTGAAGCCGATTTCTGGGGTCCTCGCTGTAATATTGCTTGAATATTGCTTAAAGCGGCGTAAAACTAAACTCACTCACACTTGATTTATCAGTGCTGTACCAAAAAGTGGTAAACAACAATAGTACTTATTTCAGGCATTTACTTTAGGTTTAGCCACATTCCGTCTACCACTCAACTCTCTCTCTCTCACTCTCTCTCTCTCTTTCTCTCTCTCTCTCTCTCTCTCTCTCTCTCTCTCTCTCTCTCTCTCTCTCTCTCTCTCTCTCTCTCTCTCTCTCTCTCTCTCTCTCTCTCTCTCTCTCTCTCTCTCTCTCTCTCTCTCTCTCTCTCTCTCTCTCTCTCTCTCTCTCTCTCTCTCTCTCTCTCTCTCTCTCTCTCTCTCTCTCTCTCTCTCTCTCTCTCACACACACACACACTCACTCTCACACACTCACTGACTCACATACGCACTCACGCACACAACAAAAGCGGAGTTAAATACAACTCGCTCATTGATATGAATAGTCTGTCGTACAGACCCTGAAGCAAATATATCCACGAAAGCCCACGCAAGTCTAGAAAATGAGGCAAGTCTAGATTTGCATGACTTGCTTGATAACAGTGTTAGTACCTACACCGAAACGTCGGACTCATTTTTACTATGAACTTTTTTTCAGTAAAATATGTTCATTTCAGAGACAAGCTGTTAGTCTATTATATCAATTACAGTGGAAAATGCTGTTTGTGTCAGATGTGGTTTTACACATTATGGATTGAAATAAACACACATTTTTGCAGATCGCACGCGCACACACACATACATTACTTTTAGAAGCGGCGTTGAATACAGCTCACTCATTGCTGTTAATTTAGTATTCCTCAAATTACAAGATCTAATTGACCTTTGAGAGCGGAATTTGAAACCAACCACGATAACAAACTTAAAGCGATAATACACATTCATGTCAGTTGAGTGAACGCAAGACAAAACGTATATAAGTAGTGAAATATAAGCAAATAACGTCATGATCAGAATTAGTTTGTGCCAGTAGTTCCGGTCCGCGCCATGATGTGGTGTAAGTATCCGGGTGTGTGCCGCTATATAACATGATGCTGCAGCCGGCTGGGCATTCCCTGTAACAGACCACGGGTTACCTTCAGTATGAGGAGAACAGTAGTATTTGGAATTGCCTTCTTCGTGTCGCGTAAGTTAAACATTTTTATTGTACCAAATGCTTCACACACAGGTATTCCAACTAAATTATTCCGAATCATTTATTAACTAAAAACACATCATATTTAAGACGTTATACGTGTATACGTGTACTGCATGGTTAAAATAACTGTAGGGTGAAGGATCTCAGATCTCCATTAGTATGCTAAATGGTCAATATAGCCATTTCACTGATCTTTATGAGTGAATGTCTTGGTATTATTTAGATAAATCGTGAAAAGCATTGTTGATAAATGTTTCCGATGCCGGATACTTACGAAAGGCTAATGCTGCCACGTTTGTAGCATAAATTATTTTTTCAGTGAAATTGTTCGTTGCTTCCATTTATTTGTCGGTGCTTGGGAGTATTTTCTCGTTATTTCAATTATTTTCTCGTTATTGCGATTATTTTCTAGTTTCTTCGAGTATTTTCTAGTTACTTTAAGTTTCTGTCAAAAACTTGGAATTTCGCGTATTTTCTCGTTGCTTCGGATATTTTCTCACTGCTTCAACTATTTTCTTGTTGCTTCAATTGGGGCGGTGGGTTAGCCTAGTGGTTAAAGCGTTGGCTCGTCACGCCGAAGACCCGGGTTCGATTCCCCACATGGGCACAATGTGTTAAGCCCATTTCTGGTGTCCCCCGCCGTGATATTGCTGGAATATTGCTAAAAGCGGCGTAAAACTAAACTCAGTCAGTCAGTCAGTTGTTGCTTCAATTACTGTCTTGAGGAAACTATAAAATATCAATATTGTAAATATATCCTCTTGATGATGTGTTTGATTTTCAAGTCTGTACATTATTCTCTCAGTCTGTTTTCAACAAGTGCTTAAAAAGTATTTAGTACAAATAAAGGAATAATATACATGAAGGGTATGGCACACACCGTGGGCGTTGTCTTTAGTGTTCGCGGAATCAATAACACCGCAAAAGGCTTAAAATCTAATATTTAATAGTATTTGATCAATGAATCCTTATTTCATTTTAACCACTCACCGTGGTACATTAGAATAAATTTCTTTTACATATTTGACATATTAAAAACCGTGCTGTTAGTGATATAATTTACAGATTTACTTACATATGTATTATAGAAACAAGATATGAACAAAGCTCATTTTCGTATAATCGAGTAAAAATTGCAGCTTATTGTATTTTGTATTTAAAAAGTAAAATTTACTTATATAACTCTCTACTATGAAATATGGGAATGCAAGTAAGTAATGTTTTTCATCCCCGACAAGTTGTAAATTACACAGCTTGAAGGTACGACATTTAAAATATATTTAGACCATCGACCAGTCTCCACAGGTAGGAAATGGTTATTTTTACGGAATGTTAAAAGCGGGATTGGTAATTTACTTTCGCCAAAGTGAGGATTTAAGAGTTTCTACATTGAACCTTTATGTGAATTTGTCTGATCGGCATGTCATTTTTCAATAAATTGATCAGACAAACGATGAAATACTGTGGAGATAAGCCATTGTCGGTCGTACATATGAGAATAATTAAACACGAATGATAAACCACATTCGTCTGATATACATTTAACATTAGCAAGCCATAGTGAAACATACATGGAATTTTCTAGCATTTGTGATAAATCATTGTGAATCAAAGCTGACATTGTATTTTGATGTACACTAGTGGCATGTTCAGACCAATATGAAATTATTCGCTTATTAATATACACAGAGATAGTAAGGCGTCCAGTCTCTCCATTAAGCATGTAGGATGTTGTACTCTTGCGTAGTTTCAGGGCAGATTACAATACATGTTTGGAGTAGGACCAGACAATAATTACATATCACTTCAAATTTCCGTTTATATCAGAGGCTGCTGGTTGTTTTATTTACCTGTAAAATTTAAACAAGACCACCCACCAACCTAGCCACACATTATCCCTCCTGCCTACCCAACCACCCGCCTTACCTACGTGCCTGCCTGCATGCCTGCGTGCCTGCGTGCCTGCCTGCCTGCCTGCCTGCGTGCCTGCCTGCCTGCGTGCCTGTCTGCCTGCCTGCCTGCCTGCCTGCCTGCCTGCCTGCCTGCCTGCCTGCCTGCCTGCCTGCCTGCCTGCCTGCCTGCCTGCCTGCCTGCCTGCCTGCCTGCCTGACTGACCTGCCTGACTGACTGACTGCCTGCTTACCTGCCTGCCTACCTACCTAATCAATCCCCATCCACCTTCCTTCCTACAACCCATCTAACCACCCACCCACATTTACCTTCCGACCTAAAAACCCCAGCTACCCACCTACCTGTATCTACCTACCTATATATCTAGCTACCTACTCACACACTCACCCACTACCCCCACTCTCCCACCCACCCACCTACCCACCTACCTACCTACCTACCTACCTACCTACCTACCTACCTATCAACCAACCCAACTACCTACCTACCTACCCACCTACATATCTACCCACTTACCCATCCACCTACCCACCTTCCATCCCACCTACCTAAAGCTGCCTACCCACCTACCCACCTACAGACCTACCTACTTACAAATCTATACACCCACCTTCCAACCTACCCACCTACCTACCTAAAGCCCACCCACCCACCACATACATACATACATACATACATACATACATACATACATACATACATACATACATACATACATACATACATACATACATACATACATACATACATACATACATACATACATACATACAGTTTGATGCATATGTTACAGCGCCTTTCTGCACCATTGGTAAACGAACACACCCATCCACTTATTAACCTGCCCACCCAACGACTCACATGTCCAACTACTTACCTGCTTACTTGCTAATTCCAGATATCGTGGTTTGTCGAGCCACATTCGACAGCCCCAGTTACGTCTGTATCAGCGACAAAAGTTGTAACGGCAACGGCACGTGTCCTCATCCCTGTCATTCTCAATGCCAGTGTTCCAACGGATACAGTGGCGATGCCTGTACGAAACGTAAGTGATTATGATCCTCGTGTGTCGATGTACAGTTTTGTATGATGAAGCAACCAACTGGTGCGTGTGGAACTACTAGACTCTGTGTGAACTACTGGATGGGGTGAGAGAGTGATATTTGTGTGAACCAAAGGGTGGGAAAGAGAGTAATATTAATGTGAACTACTGGAAGGGGGAGAGAGTGATATTAATGTGAACCATTGAATGGGATGAGAGAGTGATATGAATGTGAACCACTGGATGGGAGAGACAGTGATTTTAGTGTGAACCACTGGATGGAATGTGAGAGTAATATTAATGTGAACCACTGGATGGGGGAGAGACTGATATTAATGTGAACCACTGAGTGGGGGAAGAGTGGTATTAATGTAAACCACTGGAAGGGAAGAGAGAGTGATATTAATGTGAACCACTGAAGGGGATGAGAGTGAAATTAATGTGAACCACTGTATGGATGAGAGAGTGACATTAGTGTCAACCATTGCAAGGGCCAGAGAGACTTATGAATGTGAACCGCTGGATGGGGAAGAGAGTGATATAAATGTGATCCACTGGAGTGGAAGAGAAAGTGATATTAATGTGAACCAATTGATGGGATGAGAGAGTGATGTTAATGTGAACCACTTGATGGGGGAGAGTGTGACATTGGTGTGAACCACTGGATGGGGAAGAGAGTGATATTACTATTAACCACTGGATTGTAAAGAGAGTGATATTAGTGTGAACCACTGGATTGGGGAGAGAGTAATATTAGTGTGAGCCTATGGATGGGATGAGAGAGTGATATTTCTGTGAACCACTGAATGGGATGAGAGAGTGATATTGATGTGAACCTCTGAATGTGATGAGAGAGTGATATCAGTGTGAACCACTAAATGGGATGATAGAGTGATATTTATTTGAACCACTGGATGGGGGAGAGAGTGATATTAGTGTTAACCACTGAATGTAGGAGAGACTGATATTAGTGTGAACTACCAGATAGGTGCAGAGAGAGATATTAGTGTGTACTAGTGGATGGGGGAAATAGATACATTAGTTTGAACTACTGGATAGGGGAGAGGGTGATGTTAGTGTGAACCACTGGATGGATGAGAGAGTGATATTAGTGTCAACCATTGGATGGAGGAGAAAGTGATATGAATGTGAAGCACTGGCTGGGGGAGAGAGTGGTGTTAATGTGAACCACTGGAGGGGATGTGAGAGTACTATTAGTGTGGACCACTTGATGGGGGAGAGTGTGACATTGGTGTGAACCATTGGATGGGGAAGAGAGTGATATTACTATTAACCACTGGATTGTAAAGAGAGTGATATTAATGTGAACCACTGGATTGGGGAGAGAGTGATATTAGTGTGAGCCTATGGATGGGATGAGAGAGTGATATTGATGTGAACCACTGGATGTGATGAGAGAGTGATATTGATGTGAACCACTGAATGGGATGATAGAGTGATATTAATGTGAACCACTGGATGGGGGAGAGGATGGTGTTAATCTGAAGAACTGAATGGGATGAGAAAGTGACATTAATGTGAACCACTGAATGGGGAGAGACTGAAATTAGTGTGAACCACTGGATGGGGGAGAGTGTGACATTGGTGTGAACCACTGGATTGGGAAGAGAGTGATATTACTTTTAACCACTGGATTGTAAAGAGAGTGATATTAATGTGAACCACTTGATTGGGGAGAGAGTGATATTAGTGTGAGCCTATGGATGGGATGAGGGAGTGATATTGATGTGAACCACTGAATGTGATGAGAGAGTGATATTTATTTGAACCACTGGATGAGGAGAGACTGAAATTAGTGAGAAGCACTGGATGGGGGAGAGAGTGATATTAGTGTTAACCACTGAATGTAGGAGAGACTGATATTAGTGTGAACTACCAGATAGGTGCAGAGAGAGATATTAGTGTGTACTTGTTGATGGGGGAAATAGATACATTAGTTTGAACTACTGGATAGGGGAGAGGGTGATGTTAGTGTGAACCACTGGATGGATGACAGAGTGATATTAGTGTCAACCATTGGATGGAGGAGAAAGTGATATGAATGTGAAGCACTGGCTGGGGGAGAGAGTGGTATTAATGTGAACCACTGGAGGGGAGAGAGTGGTATTAATGTGAACCACTGGAGGGGATGTGAGAGTACTATTAGTGTGAACCACTTGATGGGGGAGAGTGTGACATTGGTGCGAACCACTGGATGGGGGAGAGGGTGATATTAGTGTTCGAAACTGTATGGGAGAGAGTGATAATAGTGTCAACCATTGCAAGGGGGAGAGAGTGTTATGAATTTGAACCACTGGATGGGGGAGAAAGTGATATAAATGTGAACCACTGGATGGGAAGAGAAAGTGGAGTTAATGTGAACCGCTGGATGAGATGAGAGAGTGATGTTAATGTGAACCACTGGATGGGATGTGAGAGTAATATTAGAGTGAACCACTGGATGGGGGAGAGTGTGACATTGGTGTGAACCATTGGATGGGAAAAAAGTGATATTACTATTAACCACTGGATTCTAAAGAGAGTGATATTAATGTGAACCACTGGATTGGGGAGAGAGTGATATTAGTGTGAGCCTATGGATGGGATGAGAGAGTGATATTGATGTGAACCACTGGATGTGATGAGAGAATGATAGTGATGTGAACCACTGAATGGGATGATAGAGTGATATTGATGTGAACCACTGGATGGGGAAGAGGATGGTGTTAATCTGAAGAACTGAATGGGATGAGAAAGTGACATTAATGTGAACCACTGGATGGGGAGAGACTGAAATTAGTGTGAACCACTGGATGGGGGAGAGTGTGACATTGGTGTGAACCACTGAATGGGATGATAGAGTGATATTGATGTGAACCACTGGATGGGGGAGAGGATGGTGTTAATCTGAAGAACTGGATGGGATGGGAAAGTGACATTAATGTGAACCACTGGATGGGGAGAGACTGAAATTAGTGTGAACCACTGGATGAGGTGGAGAGTGATTATACTGTGAAACACTTTATAGGGGAGACACTGATATTAGTGTGAACCGCTGGATTGGGGAGAGAGTGATATTAGTGTTAACCACTGAATGTAGGAGAGAGTGATATTAGTTTGAACTACCAGATAGGTGCAGAGAGAGATATTAGTGTGTACTTGTGGATGGGGAAATAGATACATTAGTTTGAACTACTGTATGGGGGAGGGGGTGATGTTAGTGTGAACCACTGGATGGGGTGAGAGAGGTATATTTATGTGAACCACTTAATGGGGTGAGAGAGGTATATTGGTATGAACTACTGGATGGGGGAGATAGTGATATTAGTGTGAACCCCTGGATGGGATGATAGAGTGAAATTAATATAAACCACTGTATGGATGACAGAGTGATATTAGTGTCAACCATTGCATGGGGGAGAGAGTGATATGAATGTGAAGCACTGGATGGAGGTAGAGATTGATATCAATGTGAACCACTGGAGGGGATGAGAGAGTGATGTTAATGTGAACCACTGGATGGGATGTGAGAGTAATATTAGTGTGAACCACTTGATGGGGGAGAGTGTGACATTGGTGTGAACCGCTGGATGTGGGAGAGAGTGATATTAGTGTTCGAAACTGTATGGGAGAGAGAGTGATAATAGTGTCAACCATTGCAAGGGGGAGAGAGTGTTATGAATTTGAACCACTGGATGGGGGAGAAAGTGATATAAATGTGAACCACTGGATGGGAAGAGAAATTGGAGTTAATGTGAACCACAGGATGGGATGAGGGAGTGATGTTAATGTGAACCACTGGATGGGATGTGAGAGTAATATTAGAGTGAACCACTGGATGGGGGAGAGTGTGACATTGGTGTGAACCATTGGATGGGGAAGAGAGTGATATTACTATTAACCACTGGATTGTAAAGAGAGTGATATTAATGTGAACCACTGGATTGGGGAGAGAGTGATATGAGTGTGAGCCAACGGATGGGATGAGAGAGTGATATTTCTGTGAACCACTGAATGGGATGAGAGAGTGATATTGATGTGAACCACTGGATGTGATGAGAGAAGTGATATTGATGTGAACCACTAAATGGGATGATAGAGTGATATTAATGTGAACCACTGGATGGGGGAGAGGGTGATGTTAATCTGAAGAACTGGATGGGATGAGAAAATGACATTAATGTGAACCACTGAATGGGGAGAGACTGAAATTAGTGTGAACCACTGGATGAGGTGGAGAGTGATTATACTGTGAAACGCTTTATAGAGGAGACACTGATATTAGTGTGAACCACTGGATGGGGGGGGAGAGTGACATTAGTGTTAACCACTGAATGTAGGAGAGAGTGATATGAGTGTGAACTACCAGATAGGTACAGAGAGAGATATTATTGTGTACTAGTGGATGGAGAAAAGAGATACATTAGTTTGAACTTCTGGATAGGGGAGAGGGTGATGTTAGTGTGAACCTCTGGATGGGGTGAGAGAGGTATATTTATGTGAACCACTTAATGGGGTGAGAGAGGTATATTGGTATGAACTACTGGATGGGGAAGATAGTGATATTAATGTGAACCACTAGATGTGATGAGACAGTGATATTAATTTGAACAACTGGACGGGGGAGAGAGTTATATTAATGTGAACCACTGGATATGAGGAGAGGTTGATATTAGTGTGAACCGCTACATATTGGAGAGAGTGATATTTGATAGTGTTAATTGATGGATAGTGTGAGAGAGAGGGATATTGGTGTTAACTAATGGATTGGGGAGAGAAAGAGATTACTGACAACCGTCTGAATGTGATGAGAGAGTAATATTAGTGTGGACTAGTGGATCGGATGAGAGAGTGATATTAATGTGAAGCACTGGATGGGGGAAGAGAGTGATATTAATGTGAACCACAGAATGTGATGAGAGAGTGATATTAATGTGAACCACTTTATGGGGGAAGAGAGTAATAATAATGTGAACCACTAGATGGGATGAAAGACTGATGTT